AAAAAAAAATCCGAGGAGCCGGATTTGAACCAGCGACCTAAAGATGTCTAATCCACTACAGTCTTCCGCTCTACCCCTGAGCTACCCTCGGTAAATCCTGAATTTCTCAGGCTGTAAAAAAGTGTATAAGAAAAGAATAAAAACATGCGACAATAGACAATAAGCATTTGGAGACATTGCCTGCGTTTTAAACAAAGTTTGCCGTTGAACCAAAAAAGAAGCACGCCGAGATAAATTGAACATCTTGCGGTTCACTGTTGGCAGCTGCCGTGGATTATGCGCAAGAGTACTTTTTAATATAGGGCACCGTTTGCTCCATTGGTCTTCACCATTGCCACTCTGTAGACAGCGCTCAAAAAGTATAGAATAAATCTGTCTGTGCTTTCTAGGCAGCAGCTAGGATATTGGCAAAGCGCACTCTGCACACGCTTTTTGTAAAAGAAAAAGTGCATACAGCATCCAATCATTGCACCGAGGTATCTGGTGGGCATTCTATCTTCCAGAACATACGTCAATTGTAAGATTTGGATTTTTGCTGTTATGGAAACCAACAGTGGAATCAGCGCAGTACCAATCCATAAATTTTACAAGAATAGTGGTCCGCTAGGCAGCATACTGCTATCCGCAGGGCGCTCATAGCTGCTGGCACAGCAACCATTTTAGCTTCCGCAAATAACCCGCGCATTTCCTATTTGGTAAATAGCAAGGTTTAAGTAGCAAAAATAAGGACACTCGTCAACAAGAGAGAAATGGGTTAGATGATTCCAGATCTGTTGATTGATCTGGTGATCCAGCTCTCTTAGCTCAGTCGGTTAGAGCGACGTGCTAATAACGCGTAGGTCACAGGTTCGACCCCTGTAGAGAGCATTCTTTTTGTCTTTTTTAGGGCTAATTTTTTTGGCTTGGAGGGGAACTGATTTTACACAGGGCCAGTTACCCCCTTTTTTGTTTGTTTATTGTTTGCATTTATTTTGCGTGTGGAATGTCAGAGCAGGCAGAGTGGGAGGTTGAGAGCGACACTGGCCATACGCTGTCGGGCGTGGACTTTGACGAGTGGATGCAAGCGCACGGCGTGCTTGACAGCGATCTGGAAAGCGTGGACGAGCAGCACTACAGCGAAAATTGCAGCGACAACGGCAGCGACAGCGATGATAATCCAGAAGACATTCAGAAGGCGTGGCAGAGCGCGTGCAGAGAATGGCAGGAAGCGGACGACGAGCCGGTCTGTGTCGATTTGACAGAGGAGGATGCGGATATGACAGAGATGTTTGATGAAGCCATTTCAGAAGAACCGCTTGCCACAGGGGACGAGGCTCAGAATCGCGCCGCCGTGGATGCAATGGTGATGCTGGCAAATGTAATGGAGCAAGACGGGGGGTACCAGCGGCCACCTCTTCCGCCGGCTGCAGACTGCGAGAAGTCATTTGCAGCAATGACACAGAGCATAATGGAGTCGCTGGAGCGGTCTGTGGCTCTGACAAGCGAGCTGGGAGCTGCATGCGAGCACGCACTGGCGGAGCAGCCCACAGAGGACAGGGGTGTGCAAACCGAGGCAGTGCCGGAGGCAGAGACCCGGCACAAAGAGGAGCTTGTAAAGCAGCTTACCGAAGCCCAAAATGCGCTGATGGTCAAGGACCGCCAGATCAGCGAGATGGCAGCAAAGTGCACAGATCTTGAGCAAACAAAAAGGGCGCTGTTTATTGCGCGCAGCCAGAGTGCCGGAGAGCTGGAAAAAGCTAATGCGGAACTTACCCGGCAGTGTGCCGAGCTGAAGACGCAGCTGGCACTGGCACAAAGCCGCGAGCAGGTGCTGCTGAGGACCAACCAGATGCTGGAGGCGCAGCTCAACGACGGCCTGCTGCTGCTGCGCGCAAAGAAGCCCGCTGCCAATGTACATAGCAAATCGAGCAAGCGGACGAGCGAGAAGGTGTATGAAAGCGCGAATGCCAAGAGAAGGCGGGTTGTCGACGGTGACAGGCAGCCGCTGGGCGAGCTGGACCAGATCATCATCAATGCGGGCAAGTCTGCTCAAGAGCGCCGCCATAGTCCGCGGGACACGCCAGAGATTCCTGCCTGCCAGCCAGTAACTCCTCGCATCAACTTGCAGCCTGCAGCCGCGCCTCTTACCGCGCCAGTACAGCGGCACGCTCGTCCAGCGTGGCCCTGGAAAAAATAACTTATTCTTTTTCAATAAACACCATCGATACTTCCTGGCGCGAGCCTTCAGCAGTATGGTTGAGATATTTAACGAACCGCAGAGTCCCTTCGTCGCGCATAACCAGCGATAGCGAGTTGGCCTTGGGACTGATTTGCAGCAGCTCGTCCTTGTCGGCAATATAGTGCATGGTGCCGCCCCAGCCATCATCCCACTTATCAGCAGACAGCGACAGAACCACGTCCAGTCCCAGCGGCTCCAGAGCCTGGTCGTGTATCAGCGTATAGTGGCCCCTGTCGAACCGCCTGACCTGCTGCGAAGCCTGCGAGAGCTCCAGCGACGTTGTTGCGGTTAAGAACGCTGCAAATGCCTCGGATCTCAGGAACTCTAGCAGCTTGGATAGCGTTGGCGCTGCATCGGGCTCAAGCTCAAGATAGCTGCGCAGGTGCGCAGGTCCCCGCTTCTGCGCTTTAGCCCATACCGAGTCGCAAAGCTCGCTCTTTATAACGCTGAATGCTTGCGGGCGGATAAAGTCGCATAGCTCCATGCTGCTTTGCTCAAGAAATGCTTCCTGGATCCGCGACTGCGTGTCTGCTTGCAGATAATCGGGGTTGATCCATTCGCTCAGATCATTCGGAGACTCTAGCAGCGGCTGCGGCTGGGCAACTACTGACGGCGATAGCGGCGTCGGCTCTACCGCCTCTTCAGCCTCGTCTACGGGCCCATAGAACCATCCCGTAACCGACCATCTCTCTCCATTATGCACTTCCTCCACCGTATGGAACGAGCCTTGGCCGGTTAAAAAGAACCCGATCGAGTTGAATTTAGGCAAGATCCTGGCTACTACTTTGGCCGGGTGCCCGTCCTCGTTGGCAGCAAACAGGCCCAGTGCGCCGCCATCCGCTTCCGCCCACTCCTCGGTCAGATAGATAATATACGCAATCTTGCGAGTCAGCTTGCCCCGCTGCACGTCGTCGTCGTGGCACAGCAAGTGGTTGGTTGCCTTGTATCGCTGCGCTGCCAGATCCAGGTATCCTCGTGTCAGCTGCACGCCGGTTATCTGCTCCATAAAGCCTACAAACTCCTCGCCAGACAGATAGTCGCGCAGCGCCTTGATATTCGCGTTGCCGTTCAACGCCAGATCATCTGTCTGGAAAAACGAGTACAAGTCATTGGACCGTTCGTGCCATGTGAGCTGCCCCAGCTCGTCTTTGAGACTGCGCAGAAACTCCTTGGAGAATATCCCGTGCAGCCGGCCCGTATGGAACGGCTGGGCAGTGATCTCTCCATGGCAGCTGCTATTGTCGACGCGGATATCCACGTTTTGTTCCAGCGACCGATCGGTAAAGGCCTTGTTAAACTGCGAAATAAACTGCTCGTCAAAGTATCCTCGGCTCAGCCGCACCCGGCCTGGCGTGCTGCCTGCAGCGTCGATGCGTGCGCGTTTCTCAGCCAAGTCTGCCATGAAATTAGAAGAGTAAAAGAGAGGAGAACAAAAAATTTCTCTGCAACCAATCATAGCCCCTCAACCAAGGTGTCCTCAAACGCGAATTTTCTCGAGTCTTTTCTTTTTTTTCAGGCATTAAGTATTCTCTTTGCTGCCAATCTAATTCGTGTGGCCCAATTAAGCAGCAAGCGAAACCCGCTTCTTATTTTTCCTTGTTAACTCATTTCTTGCATTATTTTTCTAATGTGGCCAGCAGTGCAGCGTGTGCCGTCAACATCGCTCTCAGAATCCAACAGTCCTTCTCAAACCCTGTCAAACTCCGCAGACTTTGGCTTTTCTGCCAACGGCAGCATGAACACACACGGGCAGCAGCTCCCCGACGAGGCCGGCCACAACGGCGACAGTTCCCAGCAGCCCAACCGCAACCATCCAGAACGCCCCTCGCAAAACGGAAACGGCGGCGGAGACGACGGCTCTGAGCAGCTAGACGAGGACCTGCCGCAAATAGACGCAAAAATGATTCCGCTCAGCCTGACTATCAGCCGCCTGATAACCTACGCGTACACGGAGCTGGTAACTCTGGTCGATACGCTGCCCGCGCGCGCAGAGGCAGATCGACGTGCTGAGATTCTCAAATACACCGACCATATGACAGACCTGCTATCCAAGCTTCTGGCACTAGTTCGCTGGGCCAAACATGCGCCGCAGATTCAAAAGTGCCAAAACGTCATCGCCTACCTGGACTCGCAAAACCGCTACTTTGAATATGCAGTGGACAGCATCTACGCCACGTTCCTGTCCATGCCCAACGTGCGCATGCGCAACTACGACGTGGGCAACGCGGTCGATATCCTGACCACCGGTTCGTACCAGAGACTGCCGGTAGCGATAAAGCGCGCGGTTCCGCCGCCGCGGCTGACCAAGCGTCAACTGCGAGAGACCCTGCTCGCCATCGATGGGATTATCCGCAGCCGCATTTTACGTGGAGAGCGGCTGCCGGTGGCCATGCGCCAATATACGATTGCTAACGGCCGCATAGCGTTCACCGTTCCGGGGGAATTTGAAGCTACCTTGACTTTGCTGCAGTATGAAGAGAATATCCCCTGGCATGTGGTTAGTGTCAAGGTGCTGGTGGCTGGCGACAAGGCGCTGTCGGATGAGCAGCAGGTAACCGTCAATACTTGGCAGATTGTCGATCGTGCACAGCACATTCTTATCGAGACCAGCAATGCTCAAGACAACGCAGCAGCTACTAGCCCGTCGCCGCCGCAGCTGGCCCAGCTATACGACTTTATGCATCAGCAGTGTCTGATGGTGCTGCTGGAAGCCATGCTAAAGCAGGCAGCGGTTTTGCGGCGCGCACGGTGGGAGAACCTGCTGCAGGTCGAAATGGGGGCGCCGGACCGCTCGGTGCTTGTGCTGCGCTACTGGACATCATCGCGCGCGGCGGCAACCGCAGACTCGTCCGGCAACGAGCAGCACAGCGACA